GCCCAGCGGCTTCGGGTCCGGGGCGTTGCCCGCGAACACCGACGGGACGGCCGCCCGGCCCTGCGGGTCCTCGCACGCCCGGAGCCCCCGGCCGTCCAGCCCGCGGGCGTAGGGCCGGAGCAGCGAGAGGTTGTCCGGGGCCTCAACGGGCCGGCAGGCGTTGGCGGGCTTGGCCAACATCACGTAGCCCCGCAGGCCCTCGGGGTTCAGGGGGACCCCAAATATCAGGGGGAGGTGGGAGGAGTCCAGGGAGCTCAGGTTTTCCCGCAGAGCGCCTGCCGAGGGCGCAGGCAGGATGGACAGGAGCAGAGAGGCCACGAGGGTCACCAGGGCCGCCTCCGACCACATGGCGGTCCTGACGTGCAGCTGCGCCACGCTAAGTCCCGCTGGGGAAGGCACTCGACGGACCGTCGGGCATCTCTGGGGCCACCCGGGGAGCCAGTGGCCGGGATGCAGGTCGACACAGGCAATGACTGGACTCCCGTAGGAACCAAGCTTGGCCCTATGCAGAAATGGGTCCTGGGCACGGCGCAGCCCACATGGTGTCTGGAAAACGTGCTCTGAAGGTGGTCACCTCAGGCAGCTGCTGGGAGATGATAGCAAGCTGGCAGAGTCCCCAAGGTTCTAGAACCTTCCAGCCTCTGTGACATCATCTTGCATCTGCTCCCTCCCCCACCCCAAGAATCCTAGCTGCCTAAACTCATGTCCACTGGAGTATTACTAGGCCCTGACTAAGGCCAATGGCTCTCCTCTAAGACATGCCCCTAGGATTCCCCAGGATCCACCCCAAGTGAGATGGTTCCTTAAAACTCAAACTCACCCCCTCTTCAGTCTCTGCCCCTCACACCCACTGTGCCAGCCACACAGGCTTCCTAGCTTCTCCTCCACTATGGCCAAACTCTGTCCTGCCCCCCAGGCCTTTGCATGGCTGTATCCTCTCCCAGGTGCTGGGCTGTCTCCAGCTGGATTTCTCCCTCAGAGTCAGCTCTGGCAACAGGCAGGCTGCTTGGCTTCCAGGAGCTGGGGAGGCAGCTGGCTCTGTCACCTCAGCCCACTCTGAGGTCTTTCCTGCAGTTTAACCTTGCTCGTGACAGAAGGAAGCAGTACCTTTGGAGGGCACACACGAGGCCTTCTAGATCTTTCCTTTGCTTGTCCCAATCTCACTGAGTCAGCCAGGGGATTTGTGGCGACAAATGACAGAAAACTCATCTCGTTCCAGCTTAAACGGAAAAAAGAGTCCATCAGTTTGTGTTGTGGGAAACTGGCGATCAGGCATCGGGCGAGGCTCACTCCAGGTGCTGGAAATGGCTCAATGCTTGGCAGCAACGTGCAAATCCGGAGTCCCATCTTGGCCCGGGGCTCATCTGGAGCCAGAGGGATTCAAAGCTCTGACTGGCTGAGCTCTGCTGTATTTTCCCAATTCGAAGTCCAAACAAAACAACCCAGAGAGGAACAGAGACAAGAAGAAGAGTCTGGGGTCCCAGAGGCCCCCTCCAAGGACAGGCCCCTCCTAGGGCACAGCAGGGGCACATTCCCAGTAACCTAGCGTCCTCCCTCCAGGCTCCACCTCTGAAAGGCATAATGCCTCTCAACAGCGCCACGCAGGGACCAGAACATGTGGGCAGTTCCCCAAAGCTTGGGGTTGCCAGGGTCCCCATTTCTTCCTGGGGGTTGACAGACAAACCCTTCCCAGGTGACGCAACGAACAGATCTGACGGCCAAGGTCAGGTTGCAGCTGTAGCCACCCCTCCCTGTCCTTCAAGGCGACAGGGATGATTAAACCTACAGAGAAGGCCTGGGCTAGCTGGGAACCAGGAGAGAGATCTGAATTCCTGTCAGTGAGATTTGTGTTTGTGTCAGAGAGCTCTGGGGAACAAGATTTCCCAGCCTCAGAGTCGCTCCATGATAGGAGAGCATTTATTGAGCACCAACTGCATACCAGGCCTTGAGTTGAGCAATACTTCCCAAGTGCTGGGGTAACGAGCAATTATAAGATCATGGCTTTTTCTTGGTGTGTTGGTTTGAGACTCTGGAGCCCAGGCCAGCCTCGAACTCACAGCAATCATCCCGCCTCAGACTCCTGAGTCCTGGGATGACAGGTGTGCCCCAACCTGCTGTGTGCACGGAAAGACCAGGGGTAGATGTCGAGCAGCTCCTGCAGTTGCTCATCACCTTGATTTTTGAGGTAGGGGCTCTCTGAACTCCACTATGCTGGTCATCAAGGGGGGAGCAACATGCGGATCTGCAAGGTGCCAGGCCAGCCAGGGCTACACAGTGAGACCCTGTGTCAAGAGTGAGAGAGAGAAAGAAAAACTGGTGGCTTTGGTGAGCGATCCATCAGCAGTTTGCACCCATCTGGCCATCCTGGGGTGGGGGAAGTCTAGCTCTGCGGTTATGTAAGCTGATGATTTAGGGGAGGTGGGGGGAGGGGTGGCTGGGAACCAGGTGCTATTTCTGCAGATTTTCTATAAGTTTAAAATTATTTCACAACAAAACATTCTTTTTTAATCCAGAAATTTGGGGCTGGAGAGATGGCTCAGCGGTTAAGAGCACTGACTCACTGACTGCTCTTGCAGAGGACCCGCGTTCAATTCCCAGCACCCACATGGTGGCTAATAACCATCCTAATTCCAGTTCCAGGGGATCTGATGCCTTCTTCTGACCTATGACCTATGTAGGCAATGTACAACATGGGTGCACTTTCATACATGTAAGCAATACTCATACACTTAAAATAAAAAATAAAAAATTACACCCACATGGCAGCTACGAACCGTCCTTAACTCCAGTTCTGGGGGAATCCGAAGCTCTCTTCTTAACTCCGCAGCGTCACATGACATGGGTGCACTCACATACATGCAGGCAATACACTCATACACATAAGATAAAAAAATAATAAAATATTTTTTTAATCCAGAAATTCATAAGGATTTTTATACACATGTATCTTTAAGGCATTAAGAAAAAAGTCTGGAAAAGAGGCAGCAGCTAGTGTTCGGGTCAGACAGTCAGTCTTCCTGGGGACAGTTTGACTGAGAACTGAAAGTCAGGGAGGAGATCAAAAGCCTGGGGCAGAGGACACAGCAGTGCAAAGGCCCTGGGGCAGAGGTCACACTGTGCAAAGAAGATGGAAGAAGTCCTGACCGCTGTGAGGGGCGGGGAATGAAGAGGAATCCAGCCTGGAGACCCTGAGAGACATTGTATTTCCTGTCCCATGTAGAGTCTGGCCTAATCAGCTAACGAGGATGACCTCGAACTCCTGATTCTCCTGACTCCATCTTCCCATTGCTGTGATGACAGGCAAGCAACAAGACCCGTGAGGAGCCAAGCCTGACCACCTGAGTTCCATCCCTAGATCCCACAGTGTGGAAAGTAATGAACTGACTTTGGCACATTGTCCTCTGAGATCCACGTGTGCCAGGTGTCACCAGAGCCCCCCAACCCACCATACAGAAAATCAATCAATCAATTGATCGTGTTACAATCTGGTATCAACTCCAGATTCAGACTGGAGAGAGTTCAAAGCTTTGGGGATGAACATAAATCATTAGCATTTCACACGCCTTTAATCCCAGCACTCGGGAGGCAGAGGCAGGCGGATCTCTGTGAGTTCAAGGCCAGCCTGGTCTACATAGTGAGTTCCAGGACAGCTGGGGCTACAGGGAGACCCTGTCTCAAAGACCAAAAAAAAAAAAAGCATTTCTGTTTGGACTCAGAGGCAGGCCTGGATTTTGGGGTTACATTGGGTCTGAGGGGTCAGCAAGAGGTTCGGGCTCACCAGAGTCTGAGGTCGGCCACTGAGCCCCTCGCCCTGTTCTCCTCCAGGCCAGGAGACAGTGGTGGGGTGCACGTGTGTGTTTAATTCTAGAGTGAATTTAATTCTAATTCTACCGACTTCGGAGAAGAGAAACAGCTGCCTAACGTGTTAAGTGTGAGTTTTAAATAGCCGACGTGTGTTTGCTGCCCCAGCCGGCTCCCACCAGCTGCAGCTCGGAGGCTCACAGCTGTGGGGGTCCTGGTGGCAGATCTGGGGTAGTGTGTAGAATAAACCACTGATAGTCCCAAGACCCCGGCCACCAGGAGACTGACTCTGTGTGACCTTCTCTGAGGACTTTGTATACAGCTCGTGTTCAATAAATGTACCCAAATAAGAACCATACTATATACATTTTTTTGAGACAGGATCTCACCCTGTGAGCACAGGTTGGACTCGAACTTGTGATCCTCCTGCCTCAGCTTTCCCAATGTTGGCACTTTAAGTATTTGAAACTTATTTTACTCCAGCTGTACCCTGACAAAGCCTCACATGACCAGTGGGACCCCAAAACAGAGCCAAGGCCGCAGCCTCTTCCCCCTCCAACCCCCATCCTCTTCCCCATCCTCCAAATGCCGCCGTCCCCGGGGAAGGAGCTGGGACCTCACCTGCCTTCATCTCACCCAGGCCAGGAAAAGCGATTCCTTAAGTACATCCACTCCACTCTCCACCAGGAGACGCAAGATTAATTACGGCCATAAACGTATCAGGCACCACCTAAATATTTCATAGCCAAGTGCGTGCACTTGCACACGCTCACAGCCTGCGGGCTGCTTTCCCTCGACTTTGATATTCTGTTTTTCTGTAAAGAAGACTGCAGCAGGGGAGAGGAGGGGAGGGGACTGAACATCCATCTGCCCATCTCAGAGACCTTCCTCTTCTCTCCCTGGCCACTAGGGGGCTCAGGAAAGGGGGGTTCTGAAGAAGGATTCCTGCTCCAAGTCTAGAATGCTTAAAGGATCCAGAGAGTAGCAGGGGACCTGGGGCCATCACATTGTCCATAAAGACCCGGGCCCCAGGTCATTACAGAAAGTGATCAACACCCCCCACTTCCCCTAGAAGAGGATTAGCAGACACTGGTCCTGGAAGGGAGCCCACCCCATTCTCTCCCTTTGGCAGTGTTCTGAGCTCTTCCTCCAACCCAGCAAGAGAGATCTGTGGTCCCTGCCACTCAGTGTCCTTGAAGGCTCCTGAGTAACTGCAGCATAAACGTCAGGCTCTCCCTACAGCTGCCCGGCCTACCCCAGGGCCTTTGCACTGTCCATATCCTCTGCCCCCGGGGCCTTTGCACTGCCCTGTTCTTTGCCCCACGACCTTGGCAGTACTTCCTTTAAAAATTTTCCTCATTCAGTGCTTCCTTCATTCACAGGAAGTGGCCCAGGCTGTGTCCCAGGAGGATCAGAGGGACTGAGATGGGTGGGTATGGAGGAGGCAGGTTTGGGGTGTGTGGCCCCTTCCCCACCCCCTCCAGATCGCAGCTTGTGCAAATCAACACTCAGTAGAGTTGCGGGAAATATTTCCTCTCCACCTGACA